CATAATTACCAGTTGTGCAGTTTTCACACATGAACTGCAGCTCTGAACTTTTCTATACAAAATGATGCAGGACACGTGAGAACCATATACTGTAAATAAAAGATGGACGTTTCCTCTGTGACATCACCCGTTAGTTTACAAAGCCGTGTTTTTAAAGCCTCCTGAGGGATGGATCTGACCTTTAAATCCAGGAACATCACATCCTCATCAGTCACCTTGGTAACCACACAGTCCCCTCACACTAAAGCGTACCTGCTTCATCACCTGCTTCGAACATTAACAGGAGAATAAATGATTAAATGAATATCACTGTATCCAGTAAATCTGAGACCATGGACTCATAGAAAAGTGTTCATGAGGACTTGGATCACTGCAGCTGAAGGACATTTTCAACACAAGCTGACCTGTTTATGCAACCACAGGAGTCGCCCCCTGCTGGCTGTTAGAAATAAAACAGATTTAAGGGATTTCTACATTATCTTGGTGAGAACATAAATGTTCAGTGTAGTCAGATCAGACCTGAAATGATCTTTACCAAACAGTAACTGTCTGGTGTGAGCGAGTGGGTGTCATGTATCCTGCCTCCTGCACGCTCTCTACAGACAGATTTATTCAGCGTCCCGTCCTGATTCTGTGACATCGTTCAGAGTTCATATGTGAAAACGCACGAGGAAGGCCCATAGCTTTTATCCAGGAGAGATATCACAATTTTATAAACTCTAAATTAAATTTCTTACGTATGTGCTAGTGGTGATCCGTCCACCCACTCCCACTCCTGCTCCTTTGACCAGCCCTTTGTCTGTCCCTTTCTCTCCAGACCGATCCAGAATTCTCCGTGTTTACTCAGCTCTCTGAAAAATTCCTGATAGTTTGTCAGAAACAGGAATGGATTAGTTTTTTGTAGATTCATGTTTTAGGTTTTTTTCATTTTGTTAATTTTTACTAATCCAAAAAATAACCAACATGAAGATCTTACTCATAATTATTAATTTAGAGATTCTATATTTAAACACTGAACAGCAAAGACAGACACATGGCAGAAAAACATATCACATGTACAGCCGCAGATATTTAAATCATTCATGGACGACTGAGCTCTGACAACATCACGTATGTCACACATGTAGTATCTTAACAGTTATGACACACTTACATGTTTGCTCTTGGTCTTTATCACCAGCAGATCTGCTCCTCTCCTCTCACAGTCTTTCCTGCTCTCTGTCCAGTTTTTCCTCTCAGTAGAAATGTAGTAACAGCTGCACTCAAATCTTTTCCATTCTTTAAGAAATAACTCATCGTCAACACGAGGTCCAGTTTCAAATCATCTAACAACAGTTTAATAAGAGTTAGTTTGAGATGTTTCTCACCTGTGGTGTTCGCCTGTGTTTGGTTGTCGCTTCCAAACTGGCAGTTTATCCTTTCCAGATCCTTTTGTAGATTCCTTTCCAGATCCAGATCCGACGTCAGCTTCTGATTCTCAGACTGGAGCTCCACGTCTCATGAAAACCATAAAAAGAAACAGTTCAGGATGTAAATACAAATCAGCTGCTGAAGGCTTTGACCTTTTAAACATGTTATTTAAATAAATGTGAGTCCTCACAGAATTTGTAGAAGACTGTAAGCCCCGCTACCAACAGGAGACACAGTAGACCCAGTATCAGGGCAGGAACTCTGAAACGGTCTCGTCGCGCTGCTGGGAGGTGATACTGAGTGTGCACTTCTACAACGTGAAGCAGAAGACACAGTTGGATTAAACACATTTTAAGTTCCTGCTTCAGTTTATCTGAACAGATGAGATGAAAACACCACGACACCTACTGCAGCAAACAGCCACCAAACACCGTTTAACATGAGGGGAGATGCTAACAGGTGTTAGCTAGCTGCTTTTAGTTCATTACTACCTGACCGAGGAGAATAATAATAATAATAAACTTTATTTACAAAGCACACTTAAAAACCAAGGGTAGGCCAAGGTGCTTAACAAGTAAGATAGAGAATAGGAGGAGGATAATAGAAATAGGACCAAAGCAAGTGCTAAGTCTGCCAGCAGGTAGCTGTCACTGATACACAGGAAAGCAACAGGTAACGAGCAAACAAGAAGTTAAATGAGCATAAAAGTGCATGATATAAATCATCAAAGAAATATTAACTAGAGGGAAAGGCAAGATTGAATAAGTGTGTTTTTAGTCGTGATTTGAACAGTGCGATGGAATCAGATGCGCGGAGGTCGAGAGGAAGGTTATTCCACAGAGCAAACGCACGGTCACCCCGAGACTTCAGCCGAGATCTGGGTCAGAAGTAGTTAAGTGGCAGATCTGAGTGTTCTAGCAGGAGTCTGTGGTTTGAGAAGTTCACTAAGATAACTTGGCGCTAATTTATTAATAGTTTTGAATGTAAGGAGTCATATTTTAAATTGAATACGGTACTTTATGGGCAGCCAATGCAAGCTAGCTAGAACAGGAGTAATGTGGCAAAATTTCCTGGTACCAGTCAAGAGGCGGGCTGCTGCATTTGCAAGAAGAGAAGAGAAGGCAACCTCATCTAACAATCTGCTGTTACTCTACCACAAAGAGTCAGGCCAACAATGACATCACGGCTCAAAGCTAACATGTTACAAATGGAGCTCTCCTGATCGAATAAATAAACCAATAACATCTATTAAAATTTCCTAAAATTATTTCAGGCATTTTTCTGATACTTTTCAAAGTGTCACTGCCATATCTCTGCTTGCAGGCAGCAGTGTGCTCAGCTTTGCAAACTGGTTGGTTTTAAAAGAAAATGCTAGTGTTTCATGTAAAATGTGATCAGCCCACACTGATGATTCCCTCGTGAACAGAGTCTCTGTGTAACCGAGGAGTTTTGCTCGTTTCACTACGTTAATACTGCACTTTTCTATCTCGCATTGACGTCTTATACGGAGCCACAGAACGTGATTCTTACCTCCGTGTCGTGTTGAACGAACCTTCTGGTCTGTGTAGACGTCCGAAGTCTCGTAGATGTCGACTTCTCTCTCCAGTCTCTCCTCTCCGTCGCCTCGGTGGCCATATTTAAATTTAATGGTCAAATCTGGATCCTCATAAATGTGGGAAGACATTTGAAGGTGTGCGGCTTCCAGCAGACGCAGTTTTCAGTTCCTGTCAGTCTCTCCGTCGTTCTGTGTCGAGCTGAAAAGGTTTGAACAGGATGTCGAGAGGAAGCTCTGGCAGGAAACCATAAACACAGATATTTGATTTTTAATGATTTGAAATTATAAAAGTGTTTTTGTTCATGTTTGTTTCTAAATGTATTAAACAGCAACAGCTGAAACAAAACAAACTAGAGAAAGATGCTGGCGTGCAGTAAAAAGGCCAATGTGTTCGACTCTTTACTTGCTGTTTCTTCACTGATAGATGTGACGATATGAATGTGCCTCGCTCATGTCCTCATTTGACGCCATGAGATAGAAGATAAAGTTTCATAGACCAATAAGAAACAGTTTGACGGTCATGTGGCACATGACGTGGACGATCCAGCCGGACGTGCTTACACTGTAACTCTGCTTTTATCTAAAATCTAAAGACACGGAGTACTACACAGGAACAATTAAAACATAGTTTGTGATAATTGAGGAAATGATAATAAATGTAATAATTAAAGCAGGATTATTCAGGGAGTCCTTTTAATAATTGGAATGATTGAATATTAATAATATTAATTCACCGATGTCATCAGTTTTGTACCAGACACACACATCTAATCTTTTTAGTAATCACAGACCATAGTCATGCTCATCAACAAACATTTGGAAACAACAAAAACAAAACATTAGGCTCCGCCCTCTGCAGCGACAGTGTCCAGGTTTTCTTCGTTTTTCGGTTGCTTTGAGTTTTGATCTGTAGAAATATTCTGTAGATGTAACCATGTTAAAAAAGCCGTTACAAAGTAAAAGCATTTTTATTATTTGCTTCAGAGCTGAGCAAACATTAATGCTGCAAACAACAAAGTTCACTAATCAGCCTTAAAATTTACAGAAAACACAAATCTAAGAAATATTTAACAAAATTATTAAACCAAAGGAAAAAACAGACTGTGTTCACAAACGAGGCGACCTCTGACCTTTGATTTATAACTTTTAATGTTCGTCTGCTTGCACAGATCATGTTCTGATCATTATGAGGTAAATACACCAAACTACTCTTCATCTTTAATGAGGAGTCTTTAAATAACCTCGGGCTGGATTAATGTCTAGTTTGAACTTTCACATGTTTGTAGTGACTTTGTGACTGAAACGTATCACGTAGCTGATCATAAACCTACTTCCTTCTCTACTCACAAACTGATTTCCTCCCGAATATTTGAAGCCGTCTTCTCAGACAGGACTCGTTGTTGGTGCAGTTAGACGTGTTGTTATTTCAGTTAAAGCACTAAAACTGATTCACCTCACTGCTTCCACTGTTTGTGACTCTACCATTGAACCAGCCTCATTTCCCACACAGATATTATAACTAGATCAGTTATGTGGTGTGTTTTGAGGTTTAGGTAACACAGAATAGTCTTGTATTAAAACGTAATAATGCACAAAATATAGTGAACTTAATCAAATCACTATAAAGGCAGAATTAAGTAATTAAATAATGAAATAATGCAAAGCCTTTTTATCCAGCCTGATAAATACAACACTCCCTGTCTAATCAACGTCTGCTTTCCAGGTTTGTGTAAAATCCATCATCATTGTAGCTGAGGGGGTGACTGTTACTGTACTGATACATGCACATATTTGAAAACGATTAGAGCTGCTGTGTGTGAGTGTCTCACCTTCTTGGATCTTGGATTGGCTCCGGCCACCCTGTGGTTGGTCAGTTGGTTCATGGGTCACCTGATAACCAGTAAATCTCTGGGAAAGTGTCCCACATGACCAGTTAAAGCCACCATCACCACCTCAGAATATCTGCACGTTTGCCTACATCACATCCGTGTTTTTAGCACATTAGCTTCACCTTTCTCTGTCCTGCTCTCTTTAGGGACCAACTGGTCCTGTTGGAGATACGGGTCTTCCAGGACCTCAGGGACCCCCAGGACGGCAGGGACCCAGTGGACGCTCCATTATTGGACCCCCGGTGGGTTATACAGTTTTCAACAACCTTCAACGTCTTTTTTGTTACTTTTTTTCCTTAATCTTTGATTTAAAGTGTGTCGTTGTGTCTGCAGGGCAGTGCTGGAGAGAGAGGTCAGAAAGGTGATGTGGGACAACAAGGAACTCAGGTAATAAGATGTGATCAGCTTTTATATACTGACAGATCACAGCTCTCATTGCTCTCTGAGTAAGATACCAACACTCAGCTTCTCATTTCTTTACATCAAGTGATGCTGAAACACATCACGGTGCTTTCATCATTGAATATAAATCATTTAGAGAGATAATAAAGATCAAATTTAGACTGTGAGGTGGAATTACCTGTTACTTAGGAAAGAAGGAGACT